CTCTCATCATTGATATTTCTATATCTCCCTCTCCCTTCCTCTCTCTGAAGTCAATAAAGACATTTTAATAATAAAAATAAATAAAATAAACCTTATGCGTGTTAAGGTTTATTATGCCAAAGACAGAGCTTTAAACTTATACAAGAAAAAAAATCTCCATAAGGAGCATTATAAAAATGAAGATTTTACATTAAAGATAGTCTCTTCTTCAGGATCATTTGTTTACTGTAACTTTTAAAATTAAAATGTAAGCCTACAGTAAACTATCATTTTTCATGGACATGTTACAGAACTTCATAATAATGGTTACATGCTTTTAAGCCTATGATGATTTTGTTGATTTGTGAAAATTAGAAACACACTGAAATACACAGTCTAAAGGTATGATACAACCATAGAGGGGAATTGACCAGTGAAGGAAATAGAGAAAGGAGGGAGGAAAGGAGGGAAAGAAGGAAGTAGGTCAACCTAATCTCAAAGGTTAAAGGCATGCCTGTCGTGCAAAATTATAAAATATTGGTGATAAACGTGAGGTCTTGATCTTAGACACTATTTCTGTACTGCCCTAAAAAAAATAACTGATCGGCCTAAGTTCGTCAGCTAAGCAGAAGACATGTCCTTCCACGGCAATCATTGCAAATGGAAATATACGCATATATGCGCTAATAAAATTGATAGTACTAAAAATGATATTATAAAATGTGCCATTAAGTTATCATAGACTAAGAGATTGCCACATGGTACTCACGAAACAATGAGGCAGAAAAGAATGAAGCGAAAGCATGTTCTTTGTGCAAGTCACACACAGACGGATGTTCCCAAACAAAATTCTCTGGTAAAAATATCTCCCGTAAGTTCAAGCTCTCCGATAAGCTGCTCCCCTAACATCAGACATTAGCTCATCTCACAGATGACACTTCTACTCCCTTAACTAGGTGGGGTTCTCCAGTCCTGCCTAAATCCTGAGAAATATTTCACCTACAGATGCCAACATTATTAGTGCTCAGACAGTTGTGCCTGGTCTTCAGTGCCTGCTATAATTCAGATGCTTCTTAGCTTCTCGGCCAAACGCCACACTCCTCTCCACTCCTGTTTCATCAGCTGGTCTTACAGTGCCCGCCGCCTTAGTTAGGACCTGTAAGCAAAGCTAATGTGATGAGGTTGTCTGTTCAGCGATGAGCATACAAGCACAACTCCCGATTCCTAGTCATCAACACGCACTTATGAAATAGCTGATTTAATTTAGACCAGCAATGTTTACACCTGTCTGAGAATCAGTGGGAAGCTTTTAAAATGTTGACTTTTATTTCAGGTCCATTCACTAAAAATTCTAACTCAGTCTGCAGTAGGACCCAACAAATCATAATTTTTAAAAATCCCCAGGAGCCCTTGATGCTTAGCACTGAGGACACGCCCTGCTCTAGGCGCTAGGGGCACTAAAGATTCAGCATGACTAAGAAGCTTAGGTCCCTGGATCGGGAGCACTAAGACTAGACACAACAAACATCGTGTAGCAATTACGTCCTTCTGGATCAGCAGAAATCCAAAGGTGGGAAACATCACATTATTAATCAAGACAGAAAGAGTTTTTAGCAACAAGGACAGACAGGCTTAGCACATTCAGGTGGGTTAAGAGTACATCCTACCACTGAGCCAAAGAATGGAGATGAGAAGGCCTACAAGGGCCTCAGGGTCGAGATGTGAGTAAGGAAATTAACTTACCGAGAACAGAGAGAGGAGGAACAATAAAAGAAAAGTTGTACAGTTCAGAAAAGTCTAAAATATAAGCCTTGAAAAATAGTAAGATAGCCTATCCTAATACAGAGTTCTTAAACTCCAGAAATGTGCTATTTAGGGTATGAATATTAAAATTTAATAGTCCTTAAAAACTCACTTAGATTTTTAATAATGTTTTGCTGCGCATAAAAATACACACATCTGCCTTTATGGTCTGCTCTCAATCTATCAGAAAGATCTCCACAGCCCACACTGAGCTGCAAGCAGGAGGCTAGGGGCACAGAAGCCTTTCCGGAGACCAGTCCGCTGTGTTCAGTTACTCAAAAATGTCTTTCTGACACCTACTACCTACCAAGCAAGCATCACGCGGCCACTAAGGACAGGAGATGAATGAAACGCAGGCGCTGCCTGCAAGCTGTCCACGGTGGAGGGAGGGGAGAGCGGGTGGCCTGTCAGTGACAATGGGACGCCATGGAAAGGAAGGCGTGGAGGAAAACGCTGCAGCGCAGGAGCCGCGAGCTCCCTCCCCTCCAGGAGCAGGAGGGGCCTCGAAGAAGAGGGGCGTGAAGAAGGCAGGTGCCGAGAATCAGCCACCCGAGGGAAAAGTGTCCCAGGAGTCCTGCTCTCTGGTGAAGCAACCCGACAAAAAGCCTAACTCGCTTGCTTTATCCGTTTTATGCAAGACAACGGGATCCATTCCAGGAACAGAAGCAAAAGGCAGTATTTTTGTGATTTACAAGGTAATTTCTTCAGGTGGATTTCACTGACCCTAAGAAATAAAAACACTACCTTTTAAGAAAATGTTCCTCAGCGCTTTACAATCTTTGGCATAAAGGAAGCTCTCGGTTGTAACCACACGTCACTCGCCCGCGGGTAGGGCCGTTCTCGCGCCCCTGCCGTCCCGGGTGAGCCAGCAGAGTCAGGGGACCACATCCCGCTCCCCAGCTACACGTCTCACCCTCAGCTCTGTCCAGCATTCTCACAAGCTTCCGTCACGAGCGAGGCCAGGAAACTCCGTAAAGAGATCTAGTCAGCACTAGTGGAAAAACAAAATTCACAGCACACGTCCTAGCGATGCGAGTCTATAGCCGCAAAGTGCATTTGGTGAGAAATCTAAACGGTCCCATCTAACTGAGGGATGATCCTGGGACGATGAAGAACAGTCACACAAAGACAGAACTACCTCAATATACCTCCCAGATTCCACTCAAGGTAAAGCCGCTTCCCAAAAATTTGAACCACACGCTCTTCCAAGATCTATTTCTATTCAATCTTACTCATTAGAGCTACCTTACTGCACATGGTTTAAATTTACCACAAAGATGGTTTATGACACGAAAAGAAAGACTAACTTCCCAGGAATCGACAAATGTTTCTGCCCTCATTTCTGGCATCTCACACAATATGGAGATGAAAGAATATATAAAAGAAGCCTTAAGATTTTAGAATCTATTGTTTTTTACATGCTTGCAATCATTTCACACATATAACATGAAACAGCTCTAATTTTGACAGAAAATGCATTCATATTGAACCCCAAAACAAAGCCTAAATCTGGCAGAATGTCACACTTACTTTTAAAACCAGTGGCAGTCGATGTAAATAGCCCATGTAAGGGGTGACTAAAGGTTTGAGGACACCTATTTTCCCATATGCTGCCATAATTTAAAAACATTTTCCTACCATTTCCCATTTCCTTGCTTTTCTTTGACTCTAAAATAATATAAATTACCCAATCTCAAGTTATCTTAGTTATTTTCAACAATCATCTTCAAAAAAAGTTCAGTAAAGGAGGGGGGAAAGCAAATTGATTTCTATTTACCCCTGTAATTTGGGTTGTAATGCAATACGTAAAGCACACTATGTAAAATCCCAAAGTAAAATATCTGAGAAGAGCATATCAAACTGTGGGCTCCTTGATGAAATAGTAATGCCATGAGATAAAAATGGATTTCTCTAGAGTCCAGTCTATGGACTCCAGAAAGCTGACCAATGCTTTCTAAAGCCAGAGCAAATATCCTAAAAGAAACACACACTTTTGTTGCTAGAAGAAAACACACACTTCCCTCTGAAAGGTCTGAATGCATGTTGTAAGGAGTCATCAGATTACGGGAGAGGCGGGGAGAGCACAGCCCGAAGGGTGACTGTTAACACTGTAGTTTATAGTGGGACAAAACTAAGCACCGTTTTCAAATAAAATATGACACAACAATACATAAAACCTAACAGCAGCCACCATTTATGGGTTCTCTATTTGGGACCTGGGTTTGTACCTTGTACTTATCATTTATCGTCACCCACTCTTACCAATAGGATTTACTTTCCTTGTTTCAAAGGTGGAGATGCTGAAGTTTAGGGAGATCACTGAGCTGCTAAGCCAGGATTCCCACTCAGGTCTGAATATATTATTGCCTCAAGGAGAAACTTCTGTTACACAGCCATCATTCTACCACGCGCACCTAAGACTGCAACGAACTCATTTCGTTCTTGGTCTGAGGTTTCCTTAGTTGGCAGTTCCATCCTTCACACCTGCAAAATCCCTGCTCTTACATACGTATGGTTCCAAACGGTACTAGAGAACAGAAAAAGCATCCTATACCCAACTGACAGCTCAGATGCTGAAAACCTAATCTTTATCATGACAGTGGTTATTTCTATGACTATCAATCACTACATAAATATTCTTTGATGTATTTATAATACCCACAAGAGTCCCTGAATCCCAATAAACATCCACAAATAGAACTACCTCTACATAGTCATTTGATGAGGACAGTTAAGGCCTATTATGAAAACCATTAATACCTAGTCCAGTGTTTCTTAAATAGCCCATGGGCTGCTACTGGTCCACAATCCGCTCCCAACAGCCCACGCACAAACTAATTCCTGGAAAATAACATATAGAAACACAACACATCCCTCAATTACTGGCTTGAATGAACCCCCTGTGACTCACTCGCACCACGTCTCATCAAGGTTACGCCTTTCTCTCTGTAAGTTCTGGTGAGTTTCTGGCTCACGTAAGTAGAAACAGACCAGGGTAAGGATTCAGAACCTTTTGTCCTTCTAAGGGACAGAGTCCAAATCCAAAGAAGTATGCAATACGGTCTGACTCCACAATCAATCATAAAAATAGGATAAAAATGTTTTCAAGTAAAATAAAAGGAATTTAGAATGTTCAAGTATTTTTCAAAGGGATATTTGATACTTTCAAGAACAACATTTTTTTCAAAACAGTGCACCTTTCCCCATGCTCCTCTTACCTTGAGGACGGCACTATGTTGGAAGCCCTGAATTTTGCTGTAAACGGATTAGTTGACTCGTAATCAAAATAGTCCTGACGGTTTTCGCTGAACGCACTAGGCGATTTCAGGAGGCCAGGGCTGCCGGCCCCGCTGCCCAGCTTCTCGGGCCTCCTGCCTTCCTTCCTGCCCGTCACTCTCTCCAACAGGCTCACTTTCTCTCTTTTCTCCCTTTTACTCTCTTTTCTTACGTCGACGGATTTCGCGAACAAAGTCACGCCGTTGTCCCAGGGTTCGCTGCTATCTTCAAAGGGGTTTTTCTTCCGTGGCAGTGTTGCGAATTTCTGGGGTAAGGACGCCGTGACGTTGGTAAACGGGTCGCTCTGTCTCCCGGGGGCCGACGGGCCCTGGTCGGCGCCGCGCGCCTGGCTCGCTTTGCAAGTATCGAAGCTCAGCGTCCGCCGGTGCGGAGACCGGGGGCTCCCTGCAAGCAAGTGGGCAGTGAGTGGGCAGTGCTGGCCGTGTGGCGAGCTGCGGCTTCCCGAGCGAGAGCAAGGAGCTAGTTAAAGATTTAACCTTTAAAATAATCGAAGGAAACAATCCTAAAATGCTACGGTGCAGCAGTCTGAAGTATGTAGGCTAATAATAATTAGGAGATCGCTAGACATTCAGTAATTTACTCAGCTCGGGAAGAAAAAACAAACTACAATGTCAAAACTAGAGGCTCTGCTTGGCAAGACGGTGCTATAAATTCTCAAAGAGCTTTTTCATCATTAGAATTAAATTTACTTTCTTACTTCTGAGTATGGGTTTTTTTCTAGGAGCTTTCTGATTAAATGGAATATTCATTTGTGCTTCAGGCTGTCCAGGCAGGAGAAAAAGAGTAAAAAATGAAGCCAGGCCCTGGCCAGGTGGCTCAGTTGGTTAGAGCACCCTCCCCACACACCAAGGTTGAGGGTTCAATCCCTGGTCAAGGCACATACAAGAATCAACCAACGAATGCATAAGCAAGTGGAAGAGCAAATCGATGCTTCTCCATTTCTCTCGCTTGCTCTCCTTCCTCTCTCTCTCTAAAGTCAATTTTTTAAAAAAATTATTAAAAAAAAAAAAAAATGAAGCCCAGCCATGAAAAGTGACTGGGGCTCATTTTATTATCATCTAATAATATAAATACAATACTGAATGCAGATAGGCTCTGCCTTTAATAAAATTATCAATTTTGAGGATAGTAGGCACTCAATAAATATTTGATTTCTAAATTTAGAAACTACCACCACAAAACTATAATTTTTATTTTCTAATCTTAGAATTAAACTTTAAAAAATTATGAAGGGTATTTCAGGCCACTGAGGATACAATTAGAAAGAACGTCACTCACCACTTTCTGGAACTGCTCCAAAGGACTCTATCTGGCGTCCGAGAAGATGCGTCTGGCCAGTGGTGCCAGACTTCAGTTTCTCAGAAGACACGTGGGCCCCAGTTAAATCCGACATTGAATGCGCTGAGGAGAGCCTCTGAGGACCCAAAAGGAAAGGCTTTTTTGGTTTCGATTTCATCTGCATTTCACCACTTGAAAACTCAGAATTGGCATCCGTCACATGAGAACTTGGAATGATTGCAGAAGATGTGTCAGAAAATGTCCCATCGTTCTTTCTCCCTTTCATCTTATCTTTTAATTTTGCAAACGGAGATCTTGTTTTGTCTTTCATTGATAAGTCAAACATACTTGCTGTCATATTGTTCCTCATGAACTGAATACTGACCTTTATCTCACCCCGGGTTTTGGCTCTTTTTCCTTGTTTGGATTCTAACCTAAACCACCTTAAAGAGAAGGGAAAACTGGGTTGTAACATGCAATGGAGAGAGGATACCAAGCTTTGCGGCGCAAATACCTCCCTAGGTAACGCTAGTGCGCACGGAGGCCGCCTACGCGACACGGGGGATGGTCAGCCAGAGCACCACCAGTTTTACTCGCTTTTACTGTTAAAAACTTACCCCTGTCCCCGGGATGTGGCATACACTGAAGAAATAGGTCTTCAGTAAGTCTGAAAGGGTTTTCAGGTAACCTTTTCTTTCATGATTTGAAAATCATTCACATCCAAAATTCTCACCAATGAAGGCATGTTTCCATCTGGGCCAAGCGTCACTAAGGGCCTAACACCATTTTTAAGTTAAAAGACCCTGAGGTACAGACTCTGAAAGAATTCATTGATACAAACTATTTCAGGGCACTATAAAATGATAAATGGCCACAGTTTTAATAAAGTAATAAATATTTAGCTCCATCCCAAAATTTCTTCCGTAAAAACTATTAAAAGAACTTTGTTAATATTAGAGGCGACTGCATGTGGCTTATTAATCATGAAAATTGCAGATGATGTCGTCTGTATTAGTATAAATGGGTCAATGCCTTTTCCGGAACAAAGAAACGCAACATGAATAAAATGCAGGAAGCAACACATAGTAATAAATCTTTAGAGTTTCTGAAGAAAAAAGAAAGCTTCAGTGCTTCCTGTTGGACTCTTTGTTTCATTGACTATGCTACTGTGACAACACTGACTCAAAATCATTTCAATTGGCGCCAAATCTTATGCTTTCAGTCACTTCGCTGTGTGACATTGCCCATTGTTAACTGATGTATATAAGAAACAAAGTTTATTTTGCTTTTGTTCATAGTATTTTTATCCATGAGAAAGTCTCCAGTTGTGTCACAAGTGATCATTCTATAAGGCGAACAGCCAAAAAAAGTCCAAAACCCACCCTAGAAGGCAGTTTCTACAATGTTTTCACATTACCTAACAATGAAGCATAATATCCATTCCTGTAGACAGGTTATTATTTAAATACAGTTCTAATCAAGTGTAACAAATTTTCTTAGCTACAAAGGAACTCTGATCTAATTTTACACTAGTTCTTTCCCTCACTGTTACCAACAGGATATGCCAGGAGAAGGTGCATTTACTATATACATCACATGGAAGACTGGTCCACAGGTCTTTCCAGGCAGGAGAGCGGAAAAACTGGCTCATAACCTATATACCAGCTGCATCTTAGCAAGGACCACGCAGGAGAAATATTTTCTTGATTAACCTGAAGCAATTCAATCAAGATCTAGCTGCATCAAAACAAACAACTTTTAAAATAAAAGAGTATTTTATAATAGAAAGCATTAACCTGATACCCGAAACTGAGAAAATGGTAAAATCTGAAGATGCAGAGACTAGAAATGACAATAAACTCTGTAGAAGAGAGAATCTTGAACACAAACTTGAGCACTGGAAAAGTCTGGAAATGAAACAAGGTTACACACCCAGTTGTTAAGAGTTTTGCAAAATAGAATCATTTCCAATGGGGGAGAAATACTTCCGATGAATGGTACTACAGAAATACTCGGTAACACCTCAGCTTTCACAGAAAATAGACGAATACACTTTGTAAGAAACGTACCAAAAACAAAACAAAAAAACCCAAGCATGTAGGATTTCCATGTGTATAACAAATCAGAGCAAATCAAGAAAAACAAAAAACAAAAACCAATAACCCAAAAACTGGAAGGGGGTGAAGGTAATCAAAATTCATAGAATTTTACAAATAAGACAAATAAATCTCCTACTTTACCATCTTTATTTCGGAGATGAGGGAAACAAGGCACAGAGAATATAAGTAACTTCCAACATCAGGTAAAAGTCAATAAAGAAGACACCCAAAGGTGATGAATAACATCTGCATGAAAAAAGTTCTTCAGTATGTGATGAGCGGCATGTGTTAGTGAGATGAAGCATACAGGACCCTGGGTTTAATCAGGAGGCTGACAGCCAGGCAGGAGGGATGCAGGTTCTCTGTGAGTGGAAGCTCCATGAAGGCAGCTGGCCTTACACTAAACAATGTCAACTGAATCGTTTCTAGAACCATACTCTTAAAATAACCAAGCTATAATTCACTGTGTGTATGTGTTTTGCATTGTTTTGCTTTTACAGTAGGAAACACTAAAGACTTGGATGAGTTTTAAAGAATAAAACTAGTCAGTGCCTGAATATAGTCTGTAAACAGTCTTTTCCAGTCTCTTCCCATCCCTTGCCCAAAATACTGCAAAGACGTTTAAATACGCTAATTTAAAATATAGGCACGACAGTAACTTTAGCTGCTTTGTTTTGAAAGTGATGTAACAGGGAAGTCTTAATGAGACCTTCAAAAATCATTCCAGAGATAAAACTCGTTTTCCCATGCTTCAAAAAGATAAAATGAAGACGTAGCATTTGCGGCTTAGTGGATTAATGCTGATTTTTTTTTCACCCCTTGGGTGCTGGATTTAAACTGTATATGGCCTCTGTTCAATTTTTAGTGGGCACAGGTCCATGTTCAAAAACCACCACACATGTGGGAACTATTCCCAAGCAATTGGTGCTGTGTGGTCAGAAATGGGACAAGATTGGCAGTAAGGGTGCCAGAGGCCAGGACGCAGGTGCACTGCAGAGGCGCACACGAAAGTCCTAAAATCGCATGTGTCTGAGTCAGACCTAACTCTGGGGACTCTGATTGTTATTACTTTTCATGAGCATTAAAAAAAAATAAAAAAAAGATCAACATCACCCACGTCTGTTGTAAAAAAAAAAAAAAAAAAAATCAAGATATTACATAACAGCATGAACGATTTTACCACTCTATTATTAAACATTGTATTATTTCCTTAAATCTTGTGCCAGCACCAACCCAGACACCCATGAAAGTGGGAGATACAGAAGTTCTCTTTCCATGCTCCACTCAAAGTGTGCAGGCTCAGGCCCCTCCCCCCCTTAAAAAAGAAAAAGGTATTTCATTTCAAGGTATAAAAATAAGTAAAATAATGGTTTTAGCTGTCACACCACTTCTTTGCTCATCACGACACAACTGGAAGACAAGCTGTAAATACTTGTCTTCAGTATTAAGAGTAAAAAGTGTCCCACCCAGCGGTTTCTTGGGACTTCTAACCCAGCTGGTAACCTTCGTCATTCATACCAGTTTTCTAAAAAGCACTTGGGAATGTGCCGACAAGGCTCAGCAATGTGCAGAATATTAAATATCTTTCTTGCAATACACCAGTGGCTCAAGTCCGTCTCTTACTGGGCCACATGTACAGCTGTGCCACAAAAGGAAACTATTAAATATATTAAAAAACCAGAAATATTACCAATAAAGATACCTCATCAAATATGTGGTCCCTATTTATCCACAAAGAAAGAAAATGTTAGGGGCTTAATAACATGAAAATCACTTTGAATGCAATAACATCGCAAGCCCTGCTGATAACATTTTAGAGCATTTTCCCCAAAAAAGTTCTAACCAATTTTATATACTAGCCAATAGAGAATTTCTACAGGGAGACTACGATATTACTGTTTATAGCCAAATGTCTTATAATTGTGATGTTGCCAAAAATCGGGAGTAAAACAAGGAGAAACTTTTAAAGGCTTATTTCATCTTCAGAATCTCTGGGTTCACAGTTGGGCCTACTTTCACTTGGAAAATTTACATTTCAGAGAAGGCCTGCAGTACATCTGATTCATTCTCAGTAAAAGTACTGTCAACGGTATGAAATCTGAAGTTACTATCGATATACTTACAAGTTTACATTCAAAACACTTTGAATATTATATAGTGTCATCCAAAATGGGTAATTTGAAACAAATTATTTTATAATTATCCATTTTCAATTTAAATTTGATAAACCCCTGGGAGGAAACTGCCACTTTGTAGGTATCAAACAGTTTTATTAAAATCACTGACATATATTCAGCCTTACATTTTTTTTAAACCCTTTTCTCTCCTTTTTCTCACTACTTTCACCTCCTTAAATGGTCTAAATTACCACTGTTTGTCTTGCATTCCTAGTATTTCTTATCTCTCTACTCTTTTACCCTACACATTAACTCTTAGGTAAAGAGCTCATGGAAAACTTTTTTTTAAACAAAAACTCCAATCAAAAGAAGCTTGCAGAAAGACATGCATAGCAAAGAAGAGGTGGCTGCTTTAAAACATGAGAAATTAACACAAACGTCAAGAAAGTTATCATTATAAAAAAGTTCATAAAAGGATCAATAAACTTCAGTGATGACTGAAATAAACAGCAAAGCTATTTTGGAAATTTCAATCCCTCTCATACATTCACAGCCTATATTTTTGTCTCACTAATTCCATCAATTATAATGTTCTCTCCAACTAGAAAAATTACGTTTAAGGAAGAGGCGAGTACACCTATCTCTGAAAACACACTATTTTTCAATTTAAGACACACTGTCCTAGTGTTAACTTATGTTACGGTTTTTGATATTAGATGTATCGATCCTAAGCTCGGAAAAGCCATGTTTTCATTGAAGATGTCATTACATCATTTCAGCACAAGAATTTAATCACTGTCCCCAATCTGACAGCATTTAACGTGGTCTAAACACACTGGCTTTGCAGAACTAACTCTGAAGTATACACCAGCTCCAATATATTGTAAATTCAGGGGAAAGCATTCGTGTGTTCAAGGTTGAGGGTGTTCGTACATACTTTTAAAACTTTTTCTCTTTAGGCTCCATCAGGACGTACCTACCCTGAAAAACGGCTGTGCTCAAATAAAGGCCAGTGTGTTCATAACACTGAAATGACGTGCTGGGCTCTAAATCTGATCGTTTATCTTTTAGCAGCTTCAGAATCCAACGTGTCTGTGACATCACACTGGCAGATTTCGTTTCCTGCCATTCTGTTTCCTTGAAAATTGTCATGTTTAAAAACAACTTGCACAGGTTGTTTCCGCCAGTCAACACTTGTGACCCAGTCTCCTTCTAAGCAGTGAAACAATGTTAACTTACTTAAAAGCCTGGCGAAACATTCAGTTATTTAACATGAATGCCTCGAACAAATGAGGTGCGATTAAAGACTCCATTTTTTCAAAAAAATGTTTCTTCGCAAGGGCTATTTTTTACTTCAAATTCATGCAAATCTGGTGCTTAAAACTGGGTCATGTTTTAGTCCCCAAACCGGTGCCCCAGATATACCAATCATTTCCAAGAACAGAAAATCCATCAACAAGATAGAGGTAAGCTCCCCCGAATTCAAAAGAAATGACACAACTTACTCTGTTTTCCTTCTTTGTTTGTCCTCAAAGATGTCATTGAGGTTGATTGCCACCTGCCCTAAGAACTTGTCGAGCCCCACCAGGGACCTGTGCATCACCACGAGTAAAAGCACGTACTTGTCCGGGCTGCCCCGCACCAGCAGGCCCGGGAGCTCGAAGGCCGCCTCCTCCCGCCACACGGGCTCCAGGGTTTTCTCAGCCACGGACGTGGAGTACTTCTCCTTGCCCAGCTGAATGATAGTGTATGTGTCATTGGTGCCACTTTTGCCTTTTGGCTTCAGATCCCTGGCTTGGAGCACTGTGACCTGCACGTGGGTTGGAAACCACTTCTGGGCTTGCTCGGACAGCAGCATCCTGCCCGCTTTCTCTGCACCGGGTCCCCGGGCGCGGGGGGGCCCCTCCCGGAGGGACAGCCTGGTCCCTAATCACCGCATCCCGAGGGCACTGAGCGGAGCGGGCAGCTCACCGCGGCCCAGCGGCCCGGGGGCTGA